ATGCACACAATTTTAACTGAGAAATTTTACATATTTTCAAGGGGCCAATACCACTACTGCATGTGAAGCCTTGTAGTAAAATCTAAGAAATTGTTCTTTTTATAATATTCAGATTTTAAGGTATTATCTAAGGAGCAAGCTAGTGTTTTTTGCTTTTGTTCTGTTTGTTTGCTTTTTTATGAATTTAGGACAGGTCTGCAGGGTTTACAGGATCTCACTACATTGATCAGACTCCTAGTGATTCTCTTGTTTTCAGGTGTGCACCACCACACCCAGTCTCAATCAACATCTCAGAGCGCCCTGGGGATGGGGTCAGCATGGCATGCTGGGAATCGAACCCCAGCAGCTGCACTCTGCCTGAGCAGGCGCTTTAGTCTGCTAATCTGGCTGCCCCTAAGCTAATGTTTTATATTTCAAAATATTTTGTCATACATTTGTTCTCATTGCAATTGTATTTTTGAATCAAAATTAAAAGCATTAACTCAAATTTTTATATTTTCGAGTGATAATTTTTTATTTGATGCACTTTAATTAATGCTAATCTGTTTTTCATCCAGTCATGCAGATGGATCAATAAAATTTTGGGATGCTTCTGCAAGTAAGTTTTAAGTTTATCTCTGTAAACAACTGTCGATTAATATTGAATAATGGCTACACATTATATTTTAGTTCTGACAATTAACATTTCAGAAACATTTTTAGATAAATGTGTTGCTGTTACAAATTCCATATCCCATATTGTTAATCCAACTTAAAGTTTAGTTTTGTACTTGTCTTCTATGATATAGAGCAAATGAGACTAAGTCAGTCTGTCAGCAACCCATTTTATCTTGAAGATGTAGTATGTCAGGAATATTATCAAACTTTGGTAAGTTAGCTTGGTTTAAGGAATTTTCTTTGTCTCCTAGCTGAGCAGGCTTCAACTACCTCTCTAGTCTTGACTTTTCTTTCTCATTCATCTACTAAGTCCTGTGAAGAGCAAAAGAAATTATTTGTAACAAAGAATCTTATTAAATTCTAAATAATTATATAATTTGTGGAATACATAAGATATTCTGTTCAATATAGTGTTTGTGGACAGGAGATCATGTCTGCATCTTGTACAATGACCAATCACTAAGACAACAATGTACAATGTATCAAATATTGAAACTGTCCTATTAATCAGCTTTGAAACTGTCTCATTGCTATTTGTTTCTCAATAAAATTATTAAAAAAATTTAAGGATACACAAAAAAATCTTCTTTATGCCCATAAATACTTTTCAGAAGACTTAATGGTCACTATAAAGAGAAAGAAATGCACATCTGTCACTACCAGTCAAACAATATGATAAGGATTCTAAATGTAATACAGAACAAATTATATTTGTTGTTAAAAATGGGTATTTATTTTGAAACAGGAAAGAAATTTTAATAGTGTGAATACTGGAAGATAGTTAAGATTTTAGCAGGAGTAGAAAGAGAACCAGTTAGCAACAACTCTGATTTCTAAAGATACATAACTGGAAAAATGGCGTGAGCTGTTTTGGAAATAAGGGATACAAGAGAGATTTTGAGTTTTAAACTTTATAGAAATATCAAAAATTTCAGTTAAATATGTCCAGCAGGTAGATAAAACATTCAGGAATGGAAAGTAAAGAGACAATACAAAAGTGATATTTGAAGGTATTAAAGTGAGAATTTCCTCAGGAAGACTACAATAAATAGAAAAACAGGAAAAAAAGTGACTCCTGGTGATAGTCTTCTGTCACAAATTAGAGTCCCTCACCAACCAAGAAAATCATCTTAGTGTGGTAGCTGGTGCACACCTATAATCCCAGCACTTGGGAAGCTGAGAAGGAGGATTGCTGTGAGTTTGAGGCCAGCCTTGGGTACAAAAGTTGATTGAAGGCCAGCCTAAACTGCATAGCAAGATTCTGTCTTAAAAAGACAAAAGTGAAAAGAAAAAAAGGAAAGGAGAGGAGAGGAGAGGAGAGGAGAGGAGAGGAGAGGAGAGGAAGAGAGAGAGAGAGAGAGAGAGAGAGAGAGAGAGAGAGAGAGAGACAGACACCCTGATCTTCAATATCAGAAAAAGATTAAAAGATTCAAAGGCTTAGAATCTAATGCCCCATTCTAACCTTTTGTATTAGTCACTGTTCAGTTGCTGGGACAAAATACTTGAGCACACCTATGCACAAAATATATACATATAGACATAGCTTTTTAACTATTTGAAAGTGAGTTATAAACAAAGACATAATGCTGTTCTAATAATTCATATCCCAAGATACTTCAGTGTGTATGACCTACAAACAAGGACATTCTTTTACATGGCCTAAACGTAGTTATGAAAACAAGGAGATTGTTAATACAGAACTGTTTTCTCATCTCCAGATATTAGCTTTTTCCAAATGTCTCAGTAATACTTTATAACAAAAGAAAATTTAGGATGATTTATTATATGTAGTCACTATATCCTTCCACTTTTTGAAGTTCTGGAACAATTCTGAATACTTCATGTCACTGACATTTTGGAGAAGTTCAGATCAGTTATTTTGTAGAATTATCTTTAATTTTTGGGTTTGCTAATGCTTTTGTAAGAAAACTGTTTTGTAAGGGAGTTAGTACAATCACAGCCTCAAATGGAAAAAAAAATATTATCTTAGGTAAGTATTCTTCAAAGCAATTCACAAACAGTTTTGTAAGACTTGTATTTTACCTTTTCTTCACACGGCCAATCAGAATATATAATTTTTACAAGAATTACAAATTATTGGACTTCCAATACTGCTATCTGATTAATTATATTTCTTATTCAAAAGAGTGATCTAATTGTGTGTGTATGTGTGTGTGTGTGTGTGTGTGTGTGTGTGAAGAGTTAACCTGAGGATACTGTCACACTCCTATCTAGCAATCAGAGGGATAAATTTTGGAAAAACACTGAGGGATTTCCCCCAGGATAGAGTCATGTCACATTTTTGCTGTATACTTTTTGAGCCCTAGTGTTTTCACCAATAAATAAGAACAAAAATAAATAAATATTCCTTAGCATATATGTTCAATAATTGTTTATTTTTTCTTTCTAGTCTTCATCTTAATACTATACTGAAGTAAAAGCATGATATTAGATGATTACTACTTCCATTTTATTTTCTGTGCTTTTGATTTATTTTGTGGCCAATAAATACATTGAATGTTTTAACAACATCTAAACATTACTTCAAATTAAAAGATAATTGTTTTAATGTGTCATAGTAACTCTACAGATGCTGTACAAGCTAAAAACTTCAAAAGTCTTTGAAAAACAGAAAGTGGGAGAAAGCAGACAGTCATGTGAAATTGTAGAAGAAGATCCATTTGCTGTTCAAATGATTTATTGGTGTCCAGAGAGCAGAATATTTTGTGTATCAGGAGTTTCTGCATATGTCATTATTTATAAATTCAGCAGACATGAAATTACAACAGAGATAGTGGTAAGTTATTTAAAATTTAATTTTTATACTTATATATAATAAAAGAAACCAGTTATCAATTTGTACTAATAACTGGTATGGATTTAAGTCAACAACAATGCAATTTGTAACTAGTAATATAATTCAAATGATTTTAGATTGTTATTGTAACTTAATATGTATATTGAAAAGTGGTTTGGCTAAATATGACAAGAGTTCTCTATGTAAACTGTTTCAGTGTCAAAATGATCTTACTATTTTAAATTAATCTTGTTACAAATTATTTTTTTCACTTTTATCTTTAACATATGCAAGATTTTTCTATCCTTTTGTTATTGCATTTGTGTTTCCTAAATGACTCAATTTCTTAATACTAATTGCCAATATCAAAATTCTAGCATTTATAATTACTTCTTTACTTTTATGACAAAGGAAAGTATAGAATAGATTTTGAAATATGTATATGTTATAGAATGAACATATATCCACATGCGTATATAATGTACCTATTATATATGATTATCAATTTCTTTTATGTATAATAATCAGATTAGTGCAGGTTTTGTTCTGTATTTATTTTTTGTTGTTTAATTTTTTCTAGTCAATTACTTTATCTCTTAACTACAATAAGTTTATTTTCAATTATTGTTTTTGTAGCAATGTAGGTAATTATTCTATTTAACCCCTATTACCAGAAGATAAAGTTTTACTACGCTAGCCCATGTGTATTTTTACCTCAACAACTAAAATTAAAACCACCCTTTTGTAGTACATTAGAATCCTAAGTTTTGAAGTCAATTATAACTAGGTTTTTAATTCTATTTTTACTAATGAGTGCCAGTGTGATTATCAGTAACTCAAATGGCTGTTAGTCAGTAGTACAGTCTGGCTATGATTCAGTTTCATCACCTTTGTAATTTTCTGTGTAAATAAAATGGAAAATAAAAGTAAACTGGAAATAGTAATATCAATTTAGTGAATTTTATATTATGTAAAGACATTATTGACATAGTACCTATGTATAGTAAATTTCAAGAATTGATCATTCTTGCCACTAGACACTTTTTTTGGTACTTTTAATGTAATTATGTCATTCATTTTTGTAATGTCACTATATTCAGGGTCATCAAATAGCTCAGTGGAGTAATGCATCTGCTTAGGCAGATGCAGGGGCAGGGAGTTCATCCCCAGGCCTGCTGAGCCAGCCCACCCCCGGGGGCACACGGAGACAGTGACTGAGACTGGGCATGGTGGTGTTCACCTGTAATCCCAGTTCTTGGGAAGCTGTAGACAGGAGGATCACTAGGAGTCCCATCTAAGCAGTGAGACCCTGTACACCCTATACACACTGTACACCATGTCCTAAATACAAAAAAAAAAAAAAAAAAAGAGATTCAGCATCCTTTTTTGTCATTTTTGTAAGCAGATATTTTTGGTTCCAAAAACATACAGTTTACATTGTAGAGCAAATATTTCTTATAAACCAATATTAATTAAAGCATTCAATGCACTTATTGAAATAAGCATAATTATAAAATAGTTTTCAAAAAGTTCTTGGGGTCACCTTATTTCTATACAAATTATCAAATCAGTAATATCATTATTCATCAAGTAGTTCTTATCAAGGTAACAAAAGTAAACAAGTAAAACTTAAGGAAAAAACAAACAAAAAATGTGAAATTTTTTAGGAAGTTGTTTTCTAAATTAATACAAAGTCCAGATTCCTTGAAGTCTTTTTTTTTAAACTAAAAGGCTTTGTACAAATAACACCAACGCATACATACATTTTTACTTTCATTAAAATAGTAATGACTATATAAAAAAATTGTTGTCATATATTGAAACTTTATCTTTACTGGTAAGTATGTTCTTATAACCGTGTAGAATTAAAAATTTGTCTTTTCTGGTTGCCACTGAGTATTACATATAATTGTCAATTTAATTCAGTTTGGCATACTTCTTAACATAAATATAAGTTCAAATTGAATTTTCTAATCAGAAAAATTTGTGAATAATTACTAAAAGTTATCAATTATATTAATGTAACTATTCATTTTTATGATGTAGATTAAATTAAAACTTGATTTTTTAAGTCATTAGAGGTACGACTTCAGTATGATGTTGAAGATATTATTACCCCTGAACCAGAAACAAGTCCTCCGTTTCCAGATCTCTCATCCCAGCTTCCTTCTTCAAGGAGTCTCTCCGGGAGCACAAACACTGTGGCTAGTGAAGGATTAACAAAGGACAGTATCCCATGCCTGAAGTAAGAGTTGCTACCAAATTTGAAAACAATTTTATATGTTACTCCTACAGTCTTTGACATTGTGACAAATAAAATCACTCTTCTACGTTGTTGTCAACTGAGTTACAGAAGACCAAATAGTATTCTGTCTTCTTTGAACAGATACAAAATGACATAATGTTCCCATCTTTTATTTACTTATTTATGTATTTCTTTCCCGGAAAGATCTTTAAAAAAAAAGGTCTTTGATAGAATGAGAACTTTTTAAAAATGTATTTATTTGATACAACATCTTGCTACACCATTCAGACTCATAGTGATCCTCCTTTCTCAGCCTCTCCAGCCCTGGGATTACAGGCATGTGCCACCAAACCTGGTTTCAGTGGCCATCATGGCTGACATACCATTCCAGGGATGAAATCTGGGTCCTTGCACTTGCCAAGTAGGTGCTTAGACCAGTGAGCTATCTCCCTAGCCCAGGATCAGAACTTTGACAGATTAAAAACTTGGGCACTTGCTTGGTACTTTCCAGTTGGTAAACTATGTTTATGGAACATCTTCAACTATCTTAGAACCAAAAAACAAAACCAAACTTACTATCCATTACAGTATATTCAATTAGAAAAAAATAGTTTCTCTTATGACTGTAAGTTATTATCTAATATTCTACTCTTTTTTCTAACAATAGTTACAGTGTTCACTGAATGTACCTAAACAAAGTTTAGCAACATAATAAAATCTAAAGTTAATAAATCCCATTCTAATATTTATCTGAATTGTTTTTTATGATCTGTATCATAGGCTGTAACTATACCCATATGTGAAATATAAACAGCTAATATCCTCATTTTTATATTTTTTGTTTTTATTTTAATGAAAAAAAGATAAAATAGCAATGAAACAGTTTCAAAACAGGTTAGTAGGACAGTTACAATAATTAATACATTGCATATTGTTGTCTTCATAATAGTTATTCAGAGGACAAGATGCAGACATGATATCTTGTCTAAATAATATTAGTACAAACCTTTCTTCTCAATGAACTAAGAGAAAGTGTCTGTATATCTGTCCTAACTATGAAAACATGTGTAAAAAATTTAGAGATTAGATTTCAATGACAAAGTATGGCTTTGTAGTGCACACCTGTAATCCCACTACTTGCAAGAGTGAGGGAGAAATATCCTCTTATGTTTGAGACCAGCCTAGGCTACATAGTGAGTTAAAGGACAGTGTGAACTATAAAGTGAGACCCTGACTCAAAGCACAACCAACCAACAAAGATTTCAGCAACAAAATCTGTATAATACTAATCTTTAGGTTTTGTCCCAAAACATTTTTGCAAAGTATATTAAATAATATATTAAATATATTAATGTGAAAAAATCTATAAATGAGATCACTGTAAAATTTTAGCTAATGCTATGTTTTACACATTTAATTGTCCTTTATATAAGTTTGCTTTGATTTACACTAAAATGAAAAAAAGTTCAGCAAAGACCTGAAGATGTTTATCAACAAAATTCATCACTAAAGCATGAGTCTTCTTATGCTTAAGACTTCTCATACTTAACCTTTTTCTATATAATTAAAAAATTTAAGAAAGAAATGAGAGAAAAAAAAAAGTAAAGGCAATAAAGATTTGGTAATAGAGATGAAGTAACCAGTAACAATAGTGGGGATAATCTTCTTAATTAAAGGAACCACAGGTTAAAAAAATACAATCCCATACTATGTAGTTAATATCTATGGACTGAGCAGCAAACTGATCTAAGTAATATTCTGTAAAATACATGTGTTTTTGACTAGTATATGATCCATACTACATTGCTACACTTGTGTCACCAGCATCCTTAGATTACTGCCCTTTGCTGAGCTTAGATTTCCACATACATTAATAAATAAGCATTTCAACTAGCTGACTTTACCTTTTAGCAATAATTCTTCTCAATATATTCATATGTTTGTGCAACTATTTGATTTTTCTTTTGCTTCTTTGAATGAAAAATGAGTTGTCATAATAAGCATCAGAAAGAGAATGAGACTTAAGGAATAACTTGAAGAAAGTGAAAGAATTGGCCAAAGTCTATAGGATATCTGTTTTAGGGGGAAAAAAGCAAGAGTCCAAGTATTAGATAAGCAATCATTCTTCTTACTGTTATTCATATA